TGTCAGGAAAGACTTTGAGCTAAAACAACGGGAGAAGCTTTGGAAAATGTTTTGAAACTCTACATCATGAATAATCTTATTTCTTTCCAGCAGTGATGCACCTAGCAGCATATATCACACCATAAATGCAAATAATAATTATTCTTTTTTCCTCTGTCATGTTTTGTTTCACTAAGGTTGTTATGATGGCTTAGTGTATGTCCTTCAGAGCAGTGATGGAGAAATACAGTGGACTTTTGTCACAGAAGACACCGTGAAAAGCTCTGCAGTTGTAGACCCTTCCAGTGGACTGGTCTACGTCGGATCCCATGACCAACATGTGTATGCTTTGGATATTTATGTAAGAACACTGACTATAGAACAAATATCCAACCTAAACCCAGAGGAAGCTCCACTGGTGTTAATATTCTTAGGAGTCCACTATCACACTTCTGAAATAGGCCTGCTTGAAGTGGGATTAGGATTATGTGGCAGCAGATAGTTTTAAGTGCTGTTCTCAACTGTGGTTCTTGTGTTACTAGTCCTGGTTGGAACCAAACCTTAAGTTTCTTAGTTACTAAATTCTCCATGGGTGTTTAAGAATAGGGTGCCTACCTAGAAATAGAACTACCTATGGCTTTATGACTGGGGAAAGAATCTTACGTTCTAAACAGGTAAATAAAGGGAGATGGAAAATAAGAGGGGCAGATACTGCCTTTTCATGATGCAAATTTCTTTTATTTACTGGGAGAGAAAGTAGCCAACAGCATATGTGTTGCTCTCATAGCACATAGGTTGTATTTTCACTTCTTAACTAGTGTCTGTTGAGTTAAACACAGTGTTTGATAAGGTTTGACATGCAAAGGTCTTTGTAAACATGATGAGCTCTAGCTCCAATTGAAAATTGTTTATTAATGTGTTTTCTTGTGCTTACAGAAAAAGGCATGTATATGGAAGTCACACTGCGAAGGTGGGGCTGTGTTTTCATCTCCTTGTCTAAGTTCTTTTCCACATCATCTCTATGTTGCTACTTTAGGAGGACTACTATTGGCTGTTAATCCAGTATGTACCTTTTCTTACTTGTCTTTGAGGCCAATCTCAAATTCAAATGAAACTAAAACATATATCTGAAGTTAAAATTGCTTTTCTGATGAAAGGAAAGATGACCATATGTTACCATAAAACATTTTTCACTTGGGAGCCTTATAATTATACACAAAGTTACCATAATAATTCCCATATTTCAGAAAGCTATGTGGTGACAAAGAGAACTGAAATTACTTGCTCGAATTCACATACTCACTGTAGACCAAAGTTGCAATCAGTGTCTTCTCATTCCCATATACTGCTTTATGAGGTTGACTAGTGAGTGAGAGCATGTCTGTAGATTTAGTTCCCCTATGCCCTCCCTTTGACAGAAGGATTGGAAAAAAACCATGCAGAGTACAATCCAGAAAGAAGCCCCTTCATTCGTTTTGCTGTCTCCCTTCCATAGTCATCTAAAGAGCTGTCCTCTTAATCTCAGACTGCAGTTCTAGTCTTTGCACTGGGAAAATGGCATTCTTGATAGATGTGGAGCAATTTCATGGTTTTCTGAGGCATTGTTTGCTTACAGCTGGTCCTGCCTGATAAAAGAAACAATGACTTACTTTGTATCACACAACCCACTAAGCACCTTTACCTCCTACCCACTACAAATGTCCTCAGTAATAATCAATGTAGTAGTAGAAAACCAGAATGTGGTTTTGCATCCCTATGGATGCACAGTGGACTGTGCTTAAGAAAAAAAATGGTTTTTTTTTTTATACTGTAATCCAGAGTAACAGGTAGTTGAGAAACCCAGCTACAAATGAGCCTGCACATTCCGATTTTTATAAATAATCATAATTCCTGAGGACCTTGCAGGGTACATTAGGAGCATATTGTGACAATCATAGACTGTGGGTTGCAGAATTTCTTACGGTATCAGTATGACTTTATTAGATATACTCTTCTTCATTGGTCTGTGTCACATACAGAGGAACTGGGAATGGAATAAAAATGAATTTGACATTTATTAGAACTACTACTACTGCACTGTTATCATCATTACTTTACCTAGGGGGAGGAAGAAATGGGCAAAAATGGTACTGAGTATCCTATGTAAAGCAGTAAACATTTTGTTAGAGTAAGATTTGAAGAGTAGTTTTGCTTCTGGTCTGCATTCTGGATGGGAGAAGCCTGCTTCTCTTTGATTTTTTTTGTTTGTTTGTTTTGTGGGTTTGTTTGGGGTTTTGTTGTTGTTTTAGTTTGAGGTTTTATGTATTTTTTCCCACACTTCATAAGGGCCATGTCAGGCTGTGATGGAAGGGTTGTTTTGTGCTGCTTCGTATAGTTGTGTTAAGCATCAGATATTCCATGCTGCCACTTACAGGTGACAGGGAGCAAGCTTTGGAAAAGCCTCCTAGGAAAACCACTCTTCTCCTCTCCTCACTGCAATGAGAACTACGTCTGTGTTGGGTGTGTGGATGGAAACCTATATTGTTACACTCATTCTGGAGAAAAGGTAAAAGTCGTGTTGTTTTTTTTTATGTTCATACAAAACCCTGAATAAGATGCTTTATTAATACTGTTTTCTGAGGTTTAATGATTGGCATATACCTTTTTGTGAAACAGATAGAAGTGTCTATTGTTAGAGATGGGAAAAAGTAGAAAAAAGTTTGCCTAAGGTAATCTATGCAGTTCATGGCAAAACTACAGACTCTCAAGTTGCCTGATGCAGTAAGAGAATTTTTAGTTCAGAACTTATACCCAGAGTAAATTGTCAAGTGTAGTGTCAGCAAATGAAATGGTTTCATTTGGGATTTTTCAAGCACGTTTAAGCCACCTCTTTGGTAAGATGGTGCTTATTCAGAAGCAAATGTTTCTTAGAATGTTCATGCATTTATCAAAAAATTACCAAATCATAATTCTGGCAAAATATGTGTCAGCCTTCACATTGAATTAAATTAGAGTATTTTTTTAGTTCCTCAGAGATGAATGTAGTTTGTATCTGGTGTTAAGACAACTGACACCATTTTTGTTTGTTGGCCTGACGTGCAGTATACATGGCAATTCCTAAGCCTTTTCGGATTATAAAATACAAGTTAACCTATGCCCTGCTCTCTGTCTGCTTGCAGCAGTGTTGCAGAACTGATCTGCACACCATTAGCATAACCAAAGGAAATCTATATTACAAAAGAAATATCTGCCTTTCTGGCAAAGAATGGCATATTAACAGGATTCTTTAAGTTCATTGCTAATTATGGTACAACAACCCAAAAATATCCTTTTCCCAAAGTGGCCATCTTTATGTGAGCTTCACATAACGTAGTAACTTTTCCCTCTTCCACATCTATTTTATGAGACTTCTATTGCTTACTTTATGTGTAAAACTTAACTTGTAATTTGACAAGGATTTACCAGCCCTCACTGAAATCTAGTATATCTTTGAAATAAAATGGTCTCCTAGACTGCAAGTATAAAAATTATAGTTGCTGTGAAACTGATAATATGAAAAACCTTTGATAATGGGTGGTTATGTTCTTTCTGTAGGTTTGGCAGTTTTCCACTAATGGGCCAGTGTTTTCATCTCCGTGCCTCTCAAGTTTAACTAAGCAAGAAATATTTTTTGGCTCCCATGATTGCTTTATCTACTGCTGTAACGTGGAGGGTAATTTACTGTGGAAATTTGAAGCCACTTCAAGTGTGTATGGAACACCGTTCATTTTCCAAAGTGATGACTTAAGTAACAAAATTCTTTTGGCAGCAGTATCTACAGATGGCAAAGTGTGGATCCTGAATGCCAAGACTGGAACAGCAGAAGGAGTAGATAAGCTTCCAGGAGAGGTTTTCTCTTCCCCTGTAGTATGGGGAACAAAGCTTGTTGTTGGCTGTAGAAACGATTATGTTTATTGCCTAGATCTGTATATAACAGGAAAAAAATAACAGCTAAGTTGTTAGGATGCTTTATTTTTATTGTTTACATTTGTAAACTAAGAACTTGCATGTGCCCTCTACCTCTGCTTATTTTGCTTCAGGCAAGAGCTGCCCCTTGCAGGCTTATCAGGTAGCATTTTGCATACAGGCAGTGTCCAAGGTAGGCTGTACTGATGGAAGGAGGATGGCTGCTCAGCACCTTCCCAGGGAAGGGAGAATCTGCAGTAAGATGCCATACTCCTCAGCTTGAAGTAGCGTGCTTGTCTCTGAGGGAGGAATATGTTGCTTTCTCTGAGTTCAGCCTAGCCTCTTCCATTTGTCAGGCTAGTGTTTGTCTAGCCTAGCAAGGTTTCTGTACCGAGGCAAGGTAACCCAAGTCCTTTTTTGAACCTAACTTTTAACCTGATTTCTGAAGACATAGCCTGCGTTGCATATACCTGGTAGGAGCGACCTGTTTACTGTAGTTTGTACAAACTGTATAGTTCTTTTGTAAAGGACCTAGGCCCTCCATGACTTCAGTTCATTCTGGCATATACTTAACTCCATCAAAGTCAGTAGGAGTTACTTCTTGTATTCTGAAATGGAGAATATACTGTATATATTTATTAAATTTCAGTGACAGGTACAGTATGAGTTCCAAGATGAAGTGTGTGCTGCTCAAATCAACCATTGTCAAATAATTTTTAAGTGATTTCAATGAATGCAGTGTTTTTACAAGAACTTTAATAAATGGCTGTGTAAATTGGGTTTGGTTGTCTTTAACATATTTAAAGTAAGTACCAGTGGCCTTACTAATTCAAATCAAGTATTTGCAGTGACAAAAGTATGCTTCCCTGAAAGCATTTCTGATTATGAGTCTTCTGAAAGAAGTATAGTAGAAACTATTATCTTATTCTCTCTGATGAGCCATCTACTTTGAGACCTATATTGCTTTATGACATTTGATTCCTCCATTTTATTATTAGCAGAAATGCATAAGCAAGACATGTAGCACTGTAAAAAGTTCTATTTGTAAAGCAAATCTGAACTGCATGTTTAGCAAAAGGAGACACAGAGTACATATATCGATTAGGTAATTTTGACTGGGTTATAGTTTAATAAGAATTAAAATGACATTAGTATAATAAACAATTGCACTTTAAAACATTTGAAAAATTAAAAAAGTACACAACGAATACCCCACAATTATACATCTTATAGTTTTTATACATTACTATATGAACATAGAGGTTAATCATATATAACCTTGTCAGAAGAAATGGTATTTTGTGTTTGTATAAGTTACAAAAATTTGAGACAATATACTACATAGTGGCTTGTTCAGTTCTTAAAATATTTCTGTTGTTTTAAACTGGGTAGTAATGTTTTGCATTTATTTTTACAGTTTTCCAATACTTTATCAGAAATGGTTGCAACAAAGCTAAAGCAAAGTAACACTTCACTTCGTTGGTATTTAGTGCAAATTTTTGTTAATTTAACATGAAATGTCACTGTTGCACATGTACACTTTAGAAATGTTTCCATTGAGTACTGCACGTAACAGTTTCCATTGCTACACTAGATACCTTTATGGTTGAAAAAACCCTCTGCTTTGAAGCTTCATCTTAAGAACATAATGAAAGCTTATTCTATGTGCTGTAAATGGATTGTATTGGAAAATTGCATCCTTATGTCATGCACAATAGCACCTAACTTTGCTATGCTTTTCAGAGTATTTTTAATCCTGATTTACTTCACCTTCTCTGTATGTCTACCTGGCTCCCCCTCCCAAGAAATAATTGTAAAGATGGGTTTCAGGCAGTTTAGATTACAGATAGATACTGCAGGCAAACCAACTTGGAAAAAACCTTAAATTTAACTTACGATGCACTAATTCCTGGTGCTAGCAGAGCAAAAAAGAATTATGGGGCCAATTCTTTCTTCAGATATTGAAGGCATTAAGTTTTTTTTCCCCCTAAGCACTTGAGAGCAGCATTGCCCCACTTCTGTTTAAAACATAGTAATTACTTATATTAACAAACAGTAAAAAGTTACTTCAGAGATTCTGTTTTAAATATGAAACTGAGCAAAACTGATGGCTTTTGACCAAGAAAGCCCATCTTGCTGCTGCATATCTACTCAACCTAACACATCCACTGTGTTTGTGCTATTGTAACCATGAGACTGAGTGGCTGTTTGGTGGGAAAGGCTGTACTCGACCATGACTTGCTGCTTGATTCTGGGAACAGGAGGATACAACAGGTTTCATTCTGTTTTCTGCATAAAGTGCTACTCCTCATGCTGCATACAGCAGTTTGGCTAAAACACTTCCATGAAGCATATGTGGTATCATTCTATAATGATGTGTGTTCTTTTTATGAAAATGTCTCCTTTTATGATGTTGTAGGCTCAAAGGTGCCTTTGAGCTTTATGGTTATAAGGAGGCATTCAGATTTTTTTAAAGTCTTCCTTGTAAAACCAACTCAAGTGACCTATTTAATAGGGTGACTTTTAAAAATGCAGACCTAGCTATTTCGATGGGATGTTGAGGATAGCGACATTTTTATTACATCATGGACTTTATCCTTTTCTGTAAGAGAGAAGGAGTGAACATTTTTATTTTAGTTAGGTGAAGTAACAAAGTGTTCAATTGCCACGGCAGATACCTGAGATGAGGTAAGTAACCTTTTCTGAAGTGATCTGGCTGTATTGGTCAAAGTACAGGAAGTTATCTGAACTACCTGAAGTTTCATGTGGAGTAAAAGCGGGAAGAATGCTGAGTTAAAACTCCTGAGACTCTCACTGACTTAACTTTCAGTTCTCAGTTAACTTCAGTTCTGCCAGTCTTACTCCTGTGGGAACTTAACTGAGACAAATTCTATAGCTACATTTGCACAGGAATAGTTTAATTCCAGTCATTCAATTGATTTAAAGTTGTAATCTGCAATCACTGTCTCTATGCATCTTAAATATGGCCAAGCACAAACAGTGATGCATTTAAATGACTAAAAGAAACACTGACTTCCTGGCTTCTTTCTGAAAACTTAATGGTATTTGTTTAAATAACTGTGGGGTTTTTAAAGTAGGATTAATAGTTTTCTTCCTAGGAATGAGGGAATGTAGATGTAGTATTTTAATACTACGATGGAAGAAAATACCTCAGCATTTGGATGGTACCATCTTTCTACTTATTATTTGCCTGTGGAACAGTATATCCCGAAGTTCTTCATTAGGGAAAAAGCTTTCAAATAGCAGGCAGAACTGACAGTTCATACAGTTTAACATTTTTTAAAAAATTATGAATAAGAGAAGGGAACATGCATCTTGCCTTAATTTTAACAACAGACTGCTGAAAAAAAATTCTGAGATCTCAATTAAAGTATAGAGATCTAAAATTCCAGAACCAAGTACCCACAGAATTTAAGAAGCATCTGAACTGAAGTTCTGGCCCTTATGATGCTCGCTAAAATTTATATCCAGTATCTGAACATTCTTAAGTTCTTGAGAGTCTGGCTGTGAAATTTTTGCCATGACCTCATTTAGCTATTTGTCAAAGCAATGAAATATATGACTTGAGTAGGCTTAACAGTGAGCTAGAGCAAAATGGTTATCAGTTCAGTTTTCAGTCCTTCCATACATGCATTTTCAATTTTGTCATGTGTGAAATGCAGAATAAATAAAAGAAAGCAATTAATAGTCATCAATAGAGATGTAGTTGTACAGTTTACTTGATGATCTGTGGACAGTCACTCCAGGCTTTTGCTTTCCTCTTGGCTAATGCAAGCCAGGCCGGTTCTGTTGACACAGGGTTAGCATCAGGCGTAGAGAATCTCTTGGCCACCTCTTTTGTCAGTGGAGTTGATGGAACAGAATCTGAAATTTCCACTGTTTTCGATGTGTGGGGAGAGGAAAAAGATAAAAGCATTAGTTGAACCTGCTGCTTTTTTGCAGGATTCTAAAGATTTTGCTTATATGTGAAGATGAGCTCAGTTGGTTAGAGCATGGTGCTGATAACACCAAGAGTGTGGGTTTAATCCCCATATGGGCCATTCACTTAAGAGTTGGACTCAATGATCCTTGTGGTCCCCTTCTAACTCAGAATATTCTGTGAAACTCAACCATACTCAGTATCAGATCATGCCTCCTTAACTGTTGTTGGTTCTATATTCTGACCTAACACTTGATATTTATTTCCAGCATTTTTAATTAACATCTGCAACGTACCAAACAATCGCAAATAAAGCTAGGGGTTTTTTTCCTCTTTGTTAATGCAGCCACTGCACAGGTTTAAGCCAACTCTATTCAATAGGATTTAGAGTCTTTCTTCAGATTAGTGTTCTTAAATAAGCACAGAGAAGAAAGTGGTCCTATAGTTCCCTGCCTCAGTTAACCCTGCCTGTGAGACTATCCTGAAAAAGAAATAAATCTGCTTTCTCCGCTATCTGTTTGACACATTTGCTTCTAAGTAGTATCTTTAAGACAAACAGCTGTCTCTGCAAGAAAATGTGTTGAATAAAGAACTGATTTCTAAGAAGCAGTTTCACAGAGCAGAACTGTAGAACGTAACATAGTAGCCAGATGGGAAGATTAACTCTGAGAGTGAATGCCCTTGAAAGCAACCTGGATAGAAATGAGTCCTGTCTGAAACCTATGGAATAACTCTAAAAATCATAGTTACAAAATAACTCCTCACTCCTTACTCCTGTGGGAACTTACTGAGACAAATTCTACAGCTACATTTGCACAGGAACAGTTTAATTCCAGTCATTCAATTGATTTAAAGCTGTAATCTGCAATCACTGTCTCTATGCATCTTAAATATGGCCAAGCACAAACAGTGATGCATTTAAATGACCTTGCACATTTTCTTGCTTTGGAGCCAAAAAGATTTTTTTTTTTTTGTTAAATGTTCAGATTCAGTCCAAATTCCTTTAGCTGAATTTCGTTTTCAGGTTTTGAATGTTTTAAAAAGCTTTAAAATTCCATGGATGCCAAAAATTGTTCTGTTTTTCTTTATAGTATGTCTTTAATCATATATTTTTATCTGAAAGAAAATGAACAGTAGCAGCAGCCACTGCTGTAGATGGACACTTTGAAAAGCTAATTATTTTAAATGCTATGGTAATTTATGCTATTTTAAAGGTTAGACACTCTTATCAGTTCCGGCTGTACAAAACTGAAGTGCAAGTCTGAAATACACCTTTAAGTTTTAGGTGTTTTTAATGTCCTTAAAGGAGGACTCAACAAACTCACTCATTTTAAACATGTCCTAGGCTGGTTTTCTGTCTTAAATGCTCTTCTAACTGTGGGAAACCCAAATTGGTCTTGTCTTCCATAATAAACAAATACTTATATAGAGATATTTGTGTAGTTGCTAATGGCTGCCTGGCTCCAAATGTAGCCAGTAATCACAGGGAGATCCAGTCACTGTTACCTTTTAGGGCCACTAGAGCTGTTTCACTTTAGGTAATTGAAAACTGGTAATTCCTCCTCAATTTCCCCCTGAACTCTCATTCTAGTGCAGACAGACTGATCTTGGATAATTGGGTTTTGACCCTTTTTTGGTCTAATTTGGCATCATCTGTTGTGCTGGAGTTTGATTTCTGCTAGAATTGACCATGTTCAGCATAACATCAGATGGTTTGGGTTGGAAGGGACCTTTAAAGGGCAACCTTAATCCAACCCAAGATGTTGCAAATTCTCAGGGATATCTGCTGTGGTGTGCAGCTGCAGTGTGAACATCCAGCTGCTGAACAACTGAATATAGACAGGCATAGGGATTGTTCAGCTTGGGACAGGCTGCAGTGTAGGAGTAGCACTGATTTATCCTTTACTGTTACAAATCAGATAAACAAATCACCTCATTGTTTTCAAAACTTGCATTCCATAGTTCCTGGTTTGGAGTGGTACTGACTAGATGCAACTGATACATGTATTTACTTTCCAAGAAGCCCATGATACTTACTCTGCAACTTTTAAAAAGGTTTCTTCAACGCCTCAATCTGTACTCTTCTCCAAAACCTTTAGCCTAGGACTACCGTTAGCTAGAGAAATATTAGGCAAGTTTCTATTTCAACAATCACCTTATACCACCCCAAATATTATGCCCTGTGGGGAAGTGTTTATTTCAGTGTGCCTGCCTTTTGAGTATGGAATATTTTCAGCTTAACTGAGTGACAGATAAAGCAGTAGGTTCTGGTTCCAACCTTCCATGCCAAATATTTGACTGGTAACAGGCTAGCTTCAACTGAATTGATTCATTTTTGCATTTTTCAATGAAATGAGAATACTCATTTCCAATATTGTGGGGTGAATATTTCTCCTTGACAAATTGGGAGGTGTGAGAACACAATATGCTCATTTCCTACACAAATACATTTTGTGGAAGTTAAATATAATTCCCCTGCTGTGCTAACCCCAACCTAAAGGCAAAACAGTACTGCAATTTCAATTTACAATAAATCAGATCCCTCTAATGTGCATTAGTCATGTTCCAAAAATACTGTTGGGTACGGTTTGGGGAGACAGCCTAATTTTGTTAACTTGAACTGGGGCAATTCTAAGGATCTGCAGTAGTGCAGCCTTAATAACCTGGGGAACCTGCTAAAAACCTGTTAAAATTGTGTATTTCCAGCATACTGGTCAGCACATTAGACGAGGACAAGTTGTGTTGTTCTGTGCTGAAAGCAAATTAATTTGTAATTCTAGGGCTAATATATAGGGGGAAAAAATAATGCATTCACTTTCTCCAAAACATGCAATACCATTTCTGAAGTGCGTTATTCCTAGAGTGGATCTCAGCCTCTCACTGTACCTGTCACAGAAGTTGGAAGGGTATTTGACTTTTTTAGCTGCTCCCTTCTTTCTAGTCTTGACACAGCAGTCTCAGTTTTCTTCTCCCCTTCTTGAGTTGTAGATTTCTGCAGTGTGCTTGTTTTGCTGCTGCTGCTGCTGCTTTTATTATCTGTCTGATTACTTACAGCAGCCTAGAACAGAGAAGGAAAACTGCTAAATGCAAAACAGTCTATCATGTAATGGCTACAAGTTTGAAATTACACACTTGGTTCTTTCATTCATCACGTGGCCTTTCTTTAACCTTCCTTTTTGGCAAAGGATCACAACACTAATACTTCTAGAACCAACAGTTATTAGAGACTGTAAAAACCACCACAAAGTTAAATTTGTCATGTTGTCATTTCAGTCAGAATACTGAACAGTTTGAGCCAGCCCTGCCTGTTAAATACAGCACTGAAACACACTGTGCATCTGTGGGCAACTTCACACACACTGGTTTTCTTCTACCAATTGCCTGTATCAGTGGTTGAGCATGTATCCATCAGCAATTTGGGTCTCATAACAAACATCAAAATATATTTAGTTATCCACATAATCTCCCTTTTTACCATCTATATACAGCATCACTCTTTGCGTAGCATCACTTTGGTGCTGTAAGTAAGTGGAAGTGCTTTCCCTACTAACATGGAGAGTACATAAGTATTTGGAGAATAGGAAAGAAGTGATACTTGAATTCAGTGCCTGCTTAAGGCATTTGGGTGTATTACGTGATTGTTTATTTCTTTCATTTATCTGTACTTTATCTAAACAGTACATGTTACAGTAAAAATAAATTCAGACTTACTAATATTCACCTATAAAGGTGTATTCCAACTGTTATTCCTCAAGCATTAAAGGTTAACATCTTGTTTACTCAAGCTCTGAAAGAACCACATTGCACACAATTTTTCTGTTCCGTCACCTGCACAATTGTGCTTATGATTGTCATTAACTACCACCTGATATCACCAAAGTTTACACTAAAATTGTCACACTGTTGCAAAGGTTTTTTTTCCTGGAGGTCTTGGTTTTGCAAAAGCAAACTCCAGACTTTCAGACTACTTTTTACTCACTGTCATTTTAGCTTTTATTAAGTCTTACAAATGAAGCATTAAAAAAAATGCCCCACGTAACAAAATTAGCTAACAGTTTAATCACGATGTCAGTATTTTTAATAGGCAGGTTCCTAAAGATTGCTTACATTTTCTTTAGCCAGCTTCTCTGCTTGCTTCGCCTCTCTGGCTTGTCTCCTCTCTTCCCTTGTGGCTTGCTGCTCACGAAATCCCTTTTGCTTTTGCAGCGCTAATGTAATCCAAAGCGGTTGTGAAGTTTCCACTTTTTCCATCAATTTAGAGCCATCTAAAGAGTGCCTGCTCTGGAGGACAGGCTTTTCTGAAAGAAAACATGACAAGAATTGATTGAGTAATGCACACCTCTTGTCTCAAGGAAGCATGTACGACTTCTGTACCTTGTAGAAATACTGGAGCTAAGCCCATTGAATGTCATGTCAGTCACAGACCCTCGTGGACTGCATGGCAAATCCTGAAACAGATTTTATGCCTCAGGAATAGGACCTAATTTGACACACTCATACAGCTGTCAAAATGTATCTTTCTTTTTTTTTTTTTTTTTTGTGAAAAACCCTACTCCAGACTTGCAGCCTTATTTACAACAAATATTTGCATTGTGTGGGATATTTGGTGAAAGTGATATCTTTGCCTTGATTGTTTATAACTGATGAGAGGAATCATACTGCAGTTCCCTGGTTTTTCAGCTGTAATTAAGGGAAGAAGAGTGTCTGAACTACACGCAAAAGAAGGAGCCTAAAATTACATAGTGTTGTAAATTCAGCCTCTGTTATAAAAACTTTTTTTTTTTTAATTGGCACTTGAGCATTTGACTTTCTGTACTCTGCATCGAGCTGGAGCACCCAGTATAGAACTGTGAGTGTTAGGGAGCAGCACTGAGGTGCAAAGGTGCTTCTGCAGAGCTCAGTGAGCACACAAACCCTCAACTGGCCCAGACCCCGCTCTCCCAACCAGCAGCTGTGCGTCCAGCTAGTTTCCATAAATCCTCATTGTAAAAAAATGGAAGTTAAAAGTGTAAAAAATTGTAAAAAAAAAAAGCAGCAGTTCCACTGAGAGATGGCTTTAGAGCTGTCCTGATGCTTGCAAAATTCAAGAATGTAAAAAACCTAGGATTTCCCAATGAAATTCTGAATTCCTGCCTTGTTCTTTTGGGTGTCCTTACGCTGAAAGGGTGATTTTCTTTCTTGTACAGACTACTACTCCAGGACACAGGGGCTTTCAGCCCTTCTTTAAAGAGGCACTATGACTACTGTAATTGTTTCTACTACTGAAAGTAGCTCTGAAATGCAGAGTCCCGTGCTCAGCTATATTGGGTTAGATAGAGAATTTGCCCAGGAAAAGGGGACCTAAATCTTAATGTTTTTTGAACTAGATAACAGTTCCCTAAAAAATAGAAAAAATGGAGTGTAAATTTTAAAAATTACACCCTCTGCTCTACTGACACCATTACATGTGCACCACAGAGTCCATCCCCTGACTAACCAGGTAACATCTCTAGAAGGAAACACACACTTCTGTTACTTCCCTAAAATTAACTTTCTCAAGCAGGTTGCACTGGTCACACTCTGTTTGTGCATTTCTGAATTAAATTGTGGGGATAGGAATTCCCGCTCATTCAGACAATCCTAAGCAAAGTAGTGGTCCTCCACAAATAACATGCCAGGTAAAAATTATAGCTTAAGACCAAATGTCTTCCTCTGGACTTTAAACATCTCATTTTGGAAATGCAGACAATAGCTAAATACGCTTTGAAAAATACATACCTTTCTTCAATGGCTCAGGCTTTTTGTCGTTTTTTTCTCTCCATGGAATACTTAGAGATGGGAAAAATGACTTCTTTTCTTTGACTTCTTCCTCTTCATTTTTGTACTCATCGGACGGTGTGGGGTGCACTGGATTTGCCCTGTCCTCTTTTCTCCAGCCACCATCTGATTCAGCTTTAACCACCCTCTGCCCCAGCGTTTCAGATAGGTTTGATCTGTTCATTTTAGAGAGAGGAGATGGTGGTGGGGTTTGGCTGGTGGGCTTCGGAGCTAAAGCAGGTTTCTGTGGGACCACTGACTTGCACGCTGGTTTCTCATGAGCGAGTAAAGCACTCTGGCCAGTGGCTGGTGTGATCACTGGCTGTGAAAACTCAATCACAGTAACTGAAGAGTCTTTTAAATTACCAGGGACATTTGCTCTCCCCACATCAGGGGATGTACTCTCTTGTGGTGCAAAAACAGCAGATTCTTTCTCACCTTCTGTTGAGGTGAGTGGGTCAGGCACACCATCAAAACTGTCTCCTGCACTGTATCTTTTCTTTTTCCTTTGCTCTGCCTGTTGATCATAATGGAAACGTAAAGAGTAGTTTGTCCTTCTTAACTTTATCCCAAAAGGAGAAATGTTTTCTTCTCCATTTGGTGATGGTTTATCTGCTTTTTTTGTACTGTTATTTTGCTGATTTTCCAGAGCACTGGGATGTTCTGGCTTAGGTAATTCTTTACCTGGAGAATGAGGAAAACTTGGAACAAGGAAAGATGGAAGATCTTTTGCAAATTTACAGCCTTCTGTATTGTCTGTCACTTCACTATGGGTTTCCATTTTCTCCTTAGCCTTTTCAGCTAAATTATCCTTAAAAGTGGTAGCCATGTCCTCCTTCAAATCAGCGGATGAGCCAGTGTTTTTCCCCACAGCCTTTTCATTGCCTTTTGCCACACTTACATTCTCAGGGTCTGAATTGGTTTTTGAAACTTCTGAAAATTTCTGCCATGCTGGTGTTATTGAGAACTTTGCATTTGCAGAAAGGGTTTTCCTTAAATTGCCATGGGGAGCACCCCGTCCTCGGGGCGTCCAGTCGTCACTGTGCCTGCAGACACTAACTCGGTCTCTCTCATTATATTTGTTGTTTTCTGCATTCTTTAGTATTCTGGAGCGAATAGAGGCCCACTCAGCTAGTACGGCCTGGTTGTTCAATGTCTCTTGAGCTTGTTTAATTTTACTGCTGCTAGGTTTGGTATCCTGTTTTTTTTTCAGGGACTTCTCCGGTGAAGGAATTTCCACAGTTTTCCTCTCTTCCGTTAAGCCAAGTAATGATTTGCAAGCCGTGTCCTTAATCTGGTTCAGGTTAACTGCTGTGCCACACAGCTGTGCTCCAGTAACCAAAATAGCTGTGTGGGGTACGCACGCAGATGACGGGAGAGTATGAGAGCCCTTACTGATCGTGTGCACCCTGCAGTCTTTGACAGATGGAGAAGAGGGTCCTGTTCCTTTGATGGGCGTGACAGGACTCAAATTTACTTTCTGAAATATGATCTGTTTATCTCCAGAAGACACTTGAAATGTGAAGGGTCTGGACGCAGTTTGTCTTTCATCTACCTCTTGCCACCGAAGTTCCTCCCCTATGCGCTTTTGCTCCTGAGCCTCAACATCTCTCTTCAGTTTCTCAGCTAGTATTTCTTCTGCTGTTTTATTCCCTTTTTCTGGCTGTTTGAGATTTTGGGCTCTTGATCCTTCTTGGAACTTCTCCTCTATTGGATGCTTATCAGCCCCTCCGGAACACAACTGATCCTTGTCTTGTGGCTGTTCCAAGGATATTTCTTGGGTTTGTTGAAAATTTTGTCCTTCTGTGTCTACTTTCTGCTCTTTCAGCTTGTTCCATTCTTGTCCATCCTGTTCCTTCTGCTGCTTCGTTTCATATTGTAGCACACTCTCTGAACTTTCCATGTGCATTTGTTTTGTGAGCTTGTGTTTCCTCTGCTCTTCCCGTTTCTTTTTCTTATCTATTACTTGCTGGGGTTGTTCCTTCTCTGTCTTTTCTTCTTTCTCCTTCAAATGCCTTTGTTCCTCCTGCTTCTTCTCTTGCTTGAGGCTCTCAGGTTCTTTATCCTTCAGTTTTATTTCAGTGTCTTGAAGCTCTTTCTCTTCTAGGTCATGTCTCTGTAATTCTTCCTTATTTTGTTCCTTGAGTACTTTTGGTTCCTCCAGACAATTTCTTTCTTCTTCCTCTTGACACTCTTTTTCAGTGCTCTGTTGCCTTAATTCGTCCAGCTCTAGCCTCTTCTGCTCCTTCAGCTTTCGTCTCTGTTTTTCCTCCAGCTCTTTGCACTTCTGCTCTTTCCATTCTTGATGCTTCTGCTCCTCCAATTCCTTTTGTGTCTGCTCCTGCTGTTCCCGGTGCTTCTGCACCTCCAGCTCTCGTCTCTGTTCCTCCTCCTGTTCCTTGAGCTTCTGCACTTCCAGCTCTCGTCTCTGTTGCTCCTCCTGTTCCTTGAGCTTCTGCACCTCCAGCTCTTGTCTCTGTTTCTCCTGTTCCTTGAGCTTTTGCACCTCCAGCTCTCGTCTCTGTTGCTCTTCTTGTTCCTTGAGCTTCTGCACCTCCAGCTCTTGTCTCTGTTTCTCCTGTTCCTTGAGCTTCTGCACCTCCAGCTCTCGTCTCTGTTGCTCTTCTTGTTCCTTGAGCTTCTGCACCTCCAGCTCTTGTCTCTGTTTCTCCTGTTCCTTGAGCTTTTGCACCTCCAGCTCTCTTCTCTGTTGCTCCTCCTGTTCCTTGAGCTTCTGCACTTCCAGCTCTTGACTTTGTTGCTCTTCCAACTCCTTCTGTCTTTGCTTCTCCAGTTCCTGACACCTCATCTTCTCCAGCTCTTGCCTCTTTTCAGTCTCTATCAGTCTTCTCTCCTCTTTATAACATGTTTGCTCTTCTGTTTCCAAAGATGTCTCTCCCTCAAGGAGATACTGCCTCCTCTCTTCTTCACAACACCTCTTCTCCTGTTCTTTCCTCATCTGTTCAAGTTCTTGGCACCTTTTTTCTTCCATTTCTCTTTGTTCGTCCATTTCTACAATCTGCCTTATCCTTTCAGCCTCAAGGATTCCCCAGTGATCTTCAATTCTTTTCTCCTCTGCAAGCTGAAGCTGCTTCTGCTCATTTCTGCCCTGGATTAGCTTGTCTGCTATGAAGTGTCCATTATAACCTGGGTATATGTCCTCATACAGCTGAGTTTCCAGGTCCTCTGGCTCAAATTCTGTTATTGTTAGACTTTGTGATCCCTAAAATTCAGAGACATGTTTGAAGTTACTGAATATTACCTATTGGCTTGTTACTCTTTACAGTGATCAAAGAGTTGCAAATGCAAACCACTTTTTTCAAAACAGTGATTTAGGATGCAGAGCAAACACACCCACCCCAATTTATGAATCACATCATCATAGATCCCATATCTCTCACCTATTTCAATGAGAGCCCAACATCCCAACAGTGATAACAGTATAATGCTAAATATTGAATCACCATTTGGTGTACATTGAGACCTGACCTTTCAAATTTACAGAAGTCCAAGGAACACAGCACTGTTCTACTGTTTAGAACTCCATCCTTTAAGCCTAAAATAATTAATGCCTGCTAAAGGGCATTGTTTTGCCAGTTCTTTCATGGCAAATCTATCTCTTACTTGCAGAGACAGAAGCTGTTGCCTGCAGAGAAGAGCTCTGCAATGGTAGCCAGGAAAGAACATTGCTCAGGGAAACACAATTTGCTGCTTTTCACAAATCCTGAGCCAGGATATCATCCTCATTAGATGTGCTGAGACTCCAGTACTATTGCAGGAACTGTGGGAACATGCCAAGACAGCCAACCTAGAGCTCCCCAGGAATATTGCACTGTTCTGAGATCATCACTGACTGGTTCTCCATGCCTGCCTTACAGCCCTGACATGTGGGTGCAATACTTGCAACAAACTGTGGATCTTCTTCCCAGCTTACTCCTTGTCTCTGTAGCAACGTGGTCTGATGAGCTGTACCTGTAGAGTGCTTCCCAGCACTTCCCTTGAGGAAAACAGCTCAGCTAATGTCCTGTCTAGCTATCATTTTTTGAGGCGTCATTTGGCTCCACTTAACCATTCTGTATAAACAAGAGGTTTAAATTTAATGTCTTCATTGCAAGAGTGATAAATGCAAATACAGTGGTGCGGAAGAAAGGACAGTGGCCTCTCCTGAACCCTGTGTAGTTTAGTAATCTTGTCCCATTTACAAGCACTAGTAAGATGTCAGGATAAAATACAAGAAATGTGCAGTAAATGTACAAATTTGATAATTCACTCTATAGCTGTTGCAAGAGCTACATTACTTAAATCTTATTCTTTCCTATAAGACAAGGACATTTTTCCTGTCAGAACCCACACGAGTTTTAGAGAATTTAATTTTTTCCCCAACCAATTTTGCACTACTAATTGCCTATATAAGAGTTGCATTAACAGGGGTAGGTATCTTCAGGCCTCTTTGACGTAAAAATTTTTACTAGAAAAACTAGACTCAGAAAGCTCTCCCAGGGTAAAATCCTGGTGGAAGTACTTCTGGTTAAAGTAGTGCTTGTCTCAGCTGGCAATATAACTTCTTTACATCTTCTCTCCAGCTCAGGTTTCAGCTGAAGGTCTCTCTCTTGACTTCAAGTAACAGTGTTAATTGCATATTAAGTGAATAACAGTCCTGTGTTTATAGCTCCCGGTGCACTCAGTTATGATTATTTTACCCAGCTTCAAAAGTAGTCCCCCTCCTCTTGCTGTTTGGCCAGTGATTTAATACCTTTGTTAATCTCTTGTGCTTTCTTGATACCCTCTGCTTTTTTGGCTTCACTGACAGCTTGTGCTTCGCTGCACTGTTGTCTAGACGAGCAACAGCCTGGGGAACTGAATCCAAATTGATTGTTTCAATTGTGCCAGAACAGGAAAATTGTCTTTTTGGCCGAGCTGATTTGACTGGAGTGACCTGTTTGTATCACAAACACAAGAAACTGTTATTAAGCTATTTGATCCATTAAATAAGTAAATAAATAAATAAATAAGTGATACACACTCACGCACACACACAGGTCTTTGCAGTTTTAAATTCAAAGGAGTTATTAGCAGAAAAAATTTGAAACCCTGGTTTTCCATTATACGAATCACAAACTTTGGACATGAAAGTTACAGCTGTAATATTTTCCCATTTTCAGTACTACACATTGTTATAGTTGTCACATAAAAATTACTTATACCACTCTAATTGAAGTTTTTTCACAGTTTTGCACCACTGTGAGCTTATTGGGAACGGGAAGGGCACAGGCAAGGTTTTAAGCAACATCAAACACTGGGACATTTTAAAGTTTGCTTACGGTGAAAAAAAGATCTACATCTTTAAATAATTTAGATTAAGCACTTTAGGCAAAAGGAAGACAGATTGACTTATGTAAACATTAGAACAGAACAGGTACAGAACTGTATTATCTGCATGGGAGATGACTGCAGTATTGGATGCCAGACTGGCACAGTGCCTGCTGAAAACCTTGCTCCACAGTCATATGGAGTTGTCCAAGCAAGCACCAAACAGCAAAATATAAAATAAGACAACACTGACTTTGACGGTTGCTTTTTTTTCTCATGCCCTTCAAAAAACTTGGGTTTGGAAAGTGCAAATATAAGCAAAGTGATTCAGTGAGATTCCTCTCATGAATAAATACAGTGGAACTGTATGTCTAGGCATGTAAGAGTGAGCCTGTCATCAGTCTCCCCCATAAGTCACCAAGTTATCATCCTGAGACTTGTATTTGGTATAATCCAAATGGAAAAAAAAGACAGACAAAAAAAAAAAAAAAAAAGGAGAAAACATCTTCTGTGAGGAAAGAAAATCACATACATTGTTTTCAAGACAGCTCTGTAATCTTCTGAGGTTAAACACATGCTAATCAGGGAACCAATTACTTAAAAGCTGAAGGAACATTTTGCATATGCTTATTGAATTACATGCAGACATAACAAAGTAGTAGAAGTACTTATGAAAATTATAACTCTGTGATTAATACATCAAATGCAGGAATGCTGCAAGACTGGCAGAGACTGAGTCCTGCTGTTTCCTGCAATCAGCTCTTACAGATTTCTCAGTCTTAGTTATTGCTTATGTACTAGCCCCAAAACTGCACAACATTTACAAAATCTCGGATGGCCAATGAACAACAGAATATGTCCAAAAGCAGAAACTGTCAGGTTTCTACTATTTAAAACTAGAATGTAACTCAGTGCAAACCAAGTGTAAGAGTTTTTTACCTTTTCTTCCACTTCATGTCCTGTTCCAGGCAAATTTAGCATTCTCAAGAAATCTGGAGTGTCAGTGGGCTAGAAAAGAAGATTACCACAGATAAATATTAAAATATAAACGATCTAATAAATATGATGCAAAGGACTTGTGAAATCATGCATGCTAGGATAGGATTTTTACCCTGTTTCCTGTCACTGCAGGACTGATGGATAAAGAATTCTTGTTCCTACTGCTATGAGTTTCTCTTTGCTACTGCTTGAATCATTGCTGTCTACACAGAGGCAGTTACTGCTACAAAACACTACAAAAGGTAAAACACTCAGGCTTTCTTAACAAGATAACCAGGTTCCAAAACAAAGAGTACAGTTTTGTAGGATTTCAGTCAGGTCTTATAACTTTATTTTCTTCTGACCTACATGTAAGGAAAAAATATAGTAACCTGATCAGGCATTGCCTCTGCTGCAAGGAGTTTCAGCTCCATGTGCTTGGCAACTCCTCTTCTTACAGAGCTAACTGTCCCCACAGAGTGATGAAAGCCTGGAGTACTTGGACTCTTTAGCTACTGTCCCTCTCCAAGCCATTCACAGCAGGGAATTTTTAAGGGACAGGGGTTGAAGCATCGTTGATCACACCCAGAAACATTGATTTTAATCATTCTATCACAGTATTACTTCATAACCTAATGAATGCTGGGTTCCCATTACACCAGGCACATGATTGTTAGTATGAAACCTAAAAAATCAGCTTCACAAATACAGGTTAAACTAAATCCAGAACTCCTGCTATTGATCCAAGTTACTCAGACAGGAAAATCAAAAGCCACAAAGCATCACAGGAAAGTGATGGTTCAAAGCAGACAAACACTACGTGGTCCTGGCCACCAATTCTTGACAGAAGCCACCCCATCCCTCAGGGCCTAACCGAGGAGTTACAAGGCCAACAGAAGAGACAAGAGAAGAAACTAGGGAAGCTGCTATGCTTCCCTAATTTCCCTGCTTATCTCTGATAACACAGGTAATGAGTAGTGTGCAGAAACAAAAGGAAAGTGCCGAGTGCTCTGGTTGACACTACGCATGTAGAGTTGGTTTGGTTGTGTCTGCAATCATCTCTGAGTAGGGATGTTTGCTCCTTTGGTATTTGGAAAAAGAATTATGCAAAGGAGTGGTCATTTTGTTTTTAAAATGTAATATTTAAAAGAGTAGGTGGTAAGGATAGAATTTCTCCCTCCTTATTACACAAAAATACTGTAGTGTTTTTTTAGTGCTTGGGATATTTTCTTCTTCAAGCTGGAGGTCACAAGGTGACATTAGGGTCTCCTACAGGACCCATCAAGAAGGTTGTCTGCAGGGAATCTATGTTGGTCTCAAACACAGACTTGCACCTAGTACCAGGGTAAATAGCTAAAACCTGCACATTTTGTGCTCTGAGGCACACAGGCTGCTCTTGACTTACTTTAGCTGATTGCTTCAGAAGAGAGTATTTTGAAGCAGAAAAAATATATCTCATTTTGGCTTCATTTTTATCCTTCCAGACTGCTGAGGGAGAGGTGTGAGTGTGCAAGTCCTACTTAAATGCCTGGTTACCTGACAGATCTAACCACAGCCACGAAGGAAGTGGTCACAGAGGAGCTATGCTGCCCCTTAAAGACTGATGAAGAATTTCGGCCACCTTGGCCTTAAATCCCCCTTCTGTGTGTTTGGCTGAATATAGGCACGAGCTGCAGAGGACACTTCCCGCCTTTGCCTTTCACACGGCCAGCACCAGTGTTAGTGAACACGAGTGGAGGCTCATGCCCCAGTGTCCCATCAGAATTTTAAGGGCTGCATGTACATGGTGGGTTGCTGCATACCTTTTCCAAAGGTTCCCAGGCTCAAAGTCAGCCTCCTCCAGGCACAGAAGGATGTCCTTCCATTCCCTGTGCTCCTTTCTGGCATTACAGCAACACACTGGACCAATCTTGCCTTAGAGGATTTCCAGCAACCTTTCCCCACTCACTGTGTTTCTTTGCTGTCTGAACAAGACTTCTGGATGCCTGTCTGCCCACAGTTCCTGATATCAAAATCTTCATTAATAATTTGAAGAATTATTTTAATTATACTGGACATTTGGATTTAGGGAGCATTCAAAATGCTTCTCCCCCTTCTTTGCCTCTAGTTCCTCTCTGTGAGAAACATAGATGCTTACTTTAAGACCTAGCATTTTACAGATTTGGGCTTCAGACCCCTCTCATTTTGCAATGATTTTCCTTTTTGCCATTTCATGCTGTGAACAACTCTCTTTGCTTGGAAGACCGTATTTCAAGATATTTTCTGTCTCAGAAAATTCTCCTGCCTTCTAGCTACACTGCAAATAATGTTTACATTGCTGGAAGTTCAGAACAAACACTCAAACCAGTAAATCTGTGTGACTTGGATCAGGATGCCAAGAGCATGCTTCCCACCAGTCCAAGAAGGACGAGCTGAGAGAACCCTCCCACATGAAACAGCCCAGTGAGCTCTGCTGCGCCTCACTGGAGACATCTGCTATGCCCCGGTGAATTTTACTGCTTTAGTACTACTATAATGCCATGGACACATCAATTTAAAGTGCTTACTTTATTACCACTGTCTGAGATCACTGGGTCTTGCTGAGTCTCAATCTCCATGGGGCTGCTGAGCAACACATCCTCTTCTATACTAGTGTTTGCTTCCCCCATTGTCTTCGCAGAAACTGTCATTTGTGGAGGCTGCCCAAATTTTATATTCTTGGCCAACTGTTGCTGAAAAACAAAAAAAGGAAAAAAACCCAACAACAATGATAAAAAGGTATTTATATTATGAGTAGAAGAAGACAAGTTCAGCACGCACCACAAAGTGACCAAGCTCAAGAATTTGCTATGTGATTTCTGATTTTGGATGATCAACTTGAGTTCTTGACAGTATTGTCAACTTTTGCAAACTTACTGTGAACTTCAAAACATTCCATCTCTTTTTTAAATCTGTATTCTAGGTTAAGACTTTGTTTATAAAAGCTAATTATAATGCCTTATTGTGATGCAAAGAAATACCATTACAAGCCACATGTACACTGGGAAACTAAAACTACCCCAAAAGGCCACTTTCTCTAGCCCCTAAACCCTGCATCTCATACATCTGCAGTTCTGAAAGATATCCTTACTGTAATGTTTAATTATAAGGTTTAAATGTTCAGGTTTGGCACAACCTGGCCTTAGAGGAGGCAAATTCTCAAAGGAGGGTGAGTGCAGCTCTTTTAGATGCTTGATCTCATAGGAACAATACACAGACTCCTGCCTGCTCAGGCTCACAAGCATTGCCACTCACCGCTATTGCACAAAGAAGTTCAGGCAGGGAACATGTAGTGGATAAATGAATAAAAGAGCTTTCCCACCATTTATTTTCCTTTTTGAAGTAATCTTCTCTCAAGGGTTACAAGAAAGTACGCTTGAATTACATAAGTGTAAGATGAATAAAATAAGTACCATATAATATCTATAATAGGGGGAGTTAGAGAAATTGCAGCTCTGGCTATTCAGAGACACATACCATACAGACTTTGAAAGCGAACTTTTTGCAAAAGAGTTAAAAGAAATCCTCTAGAAGTAGCAAATGGAGTAAGGAACATGTATTCTCTTCCTAAAATATTTCAGGGAATCATTCTCAATTAGAAAGGAAGAGACCGTGAAGTTATTTTCTGGATTTGCTGTCTTTCAAGCACAGAAAATTCTCCAAAGGACTTCTCCCATTTCTGTCTCGTGAAACTATGGACAAGTAATTTATGCTCATTTGAATTCTGGCAGAAAGCAGTGAAATTCATATCGTACACCATTTTGGCATAGTGGGCAGTTCCGAATGACAGACTTTTGTTCCCACCTGGATTACTGGCAGTGCACCCATAGTCTGAAGGCAAGGGTTTCACCAAGGGTTTCACCAAGTCCTCCCAAGCTTTCATGGTAGCAGTGCAACTCGCTGAGTTGAAATCTTAAGTGTTTCCATTGTGTAAATGGGAGCTGGATGGGCAGATGGGTGTGTATGAGACGGTGTGAAGGCAGTAGATCTGCTCTATGCCTGAAGGCCCTCTGACGCCAGCAGGAAACTATTTTGGAACTGCTTTTTAATTTGATAATGTGTTTTCTAAGTTGAGGCTGCTCCTTTCTTCTTCCCGAAGTCATATTTCTAGACAAATAGTTCTCCTAGGCAGAAAACTGGAACTGCCAGCATTATCCAAGCAACCACCTGAGAAACTAAGGATCTGTGCATCTATTCCAGGGTGACAACATGCACATTAACACATTGCTTGCAATGTGTTTTGGAGAAAGGGATGGTGTGTTACCCTCTTTATCTTCAGACCAAGTTCTTGATCTACTGTGTATGCAGTGCATGGTGGACATTTTTTGGTGACAGAGCTATTGTGGAGAATGGTCTGTGCTGGAAAAAGAATGGTCTTTCTAACTGCCATGAAGGATGCTTGAGGGCTCTGCTGTAAAAATGTGTAACTGTGTGCATAAAAGTTTAAAATTATGTTTTCCTGACATTTCCAAGAAAAAGGCTATCCTCAATATTTATGGAGTGTACACAGTTTGTTAATTTGTTTGTTTGTTTCCTAATTACTTCAAAGCTTTTAATGTTTATTTGCTCAGACTTGTATATTAGTTTGAATACTAAAGGAGGAACTCTGGTAGCCCTTGCATTCTTCCAGGACAGAAGACTCTTCGCTGTAGTATTTATTTAGTTGCATTTTTTAAACAAATTTAGCTTGAAAAAAAAGCAACAAAAGCTTCCACTAATAATTCTCCTCTCACCAGTTTCTTTCAGTGCATTCTAACCTCTAAAGCTGATGTTAAATACCAAATGACCAAATGTCAAAATCTCAAATAGCTTACTGTAATCACTGAGCAAATTGCAAAGAGCAATATTAAACTTGCTCCTTGTTCTTTCTTAGAATGTGCTTGTATTGTAACTACAATGCAATTATCGTCTCTCAGAAAAATTTCATACTAATACATTCTCTACCTGGTCAGTCATAAAAATCCTAAAAAAATTCATCATCCATGAAAGATAAGAAAAGAAAAAAACCTCAAATTTTACTTGTAAGAACACAAACAGACAGTCTAACCCAGAGATGAAGAGATACATCAGTTTAACCCACAAGAGGCCATAATCCCTGAAAAGGAGCATCTGCTTTAAATTTCTCAAACGTTTCAGTTAGACATGTATTTCTGAACACAAAACTATAAATCCTCTGTACTTGAGAATTCCCTGTGCTGACAGTATGTGGATGATGGTCGCCTAAGGAGGATTATTTGCAATGTCAGTCACTAGAAGTTGCAGGCATGACATTTTGTTCTTCTACCATTGCAGAGTCACACATCTCAATATCCTTTTGGAAATCTCTACAGATGCACACTGGGCTCAGTCAAACGACCCTGGCCTCTTTTGGTTTGTTCAAGAAGGCTTGTAGTTTAACAGCCAGAAATCACCACCCTGCTCTGAAATCTATCTGTCATTAAGCAGATTCATAAGCAGAAGGAAAGAGAGAAAATTTTTAGGTCTGCACCTCTCACTTCCAGCCTTATCAACTCCCATGGACATTCCCAGTCTCTCAGTTTGCAGTCAGTGGACAAGCATTTCCACAGGACTTTTCTCAGCACCAAAACAGCACAGCTACCACACAGGACATTCATACCACTGAAGCAGTGACTGAAGAAACCACACACAGGGCAGCTTTAGGATGAGATCCAGGTCAGGTTTACCTCATCCACAATGTTTTTTCCTATAAGATTCATTAGAGTTTGTGTATTCATATGCAACCTGGCTATCAGTGCAGTGCTATTCAGTGTGAGGTGAGGGGCAAGTCTGCACATCTAATACAGGCAAATAAATACTAGGAATTCAGGAAAAAAAAAAAAAAGAGTTTGCACTCATCTGATTTTTAAAATCTTGCTCAGTAACTGGACCATGACAAAGGCCCACTTCTATTTCCTTCAAAATAATTTGTGATAAAAATGTGATTAAAAAAAAATGTGCTACTATTTAACTAAAACAACTTATCATTAATAACTTCAGACATAAAGCTCCTAAGTTAAATTGCTCTGTGTTGTCTGGCACCTGCAGCAAATAAAAAAGCTCAGACTTTCAAAAGACTCTTTGCATTTGCATAGGAAATGCCACAGAACAAGCTTTCCATATTAACCGGCAGAGAGCCCAGATCAGGCTGTATATCTCCTCTTTCACTCCCATTTGGCTCCTCTTCTGCGTACATGCCTGCTTGCATGCGTGTTGGATTCAGGCCCCTGAGACCACATCATTTTATGGCTTTGTGCCTGGAGTAAATCCAAAACTGGATCCCCTGAGCTGCTTACTCTGTTCAGTTGAAAACCATTAAAACAGAGTGTACTATTTCAGCTGATTTCATTCAAACAAGTCTTACAAGAAAAGCTTGTCATATTTTGTCTTCAGCTCAAATACCTATTTTTCATATCTGTTTGCAATGCCCAAATGTAAAGAAAATTAAATTAAGTTTTCTAGTTATATATAATTGAAAATTAATGACTTAATCAATATTTGTCCTAGGAAGAGTCACACTGTTGAAATTCCATTTGGTCTTGTACAGTCTCTCAGAATGACCCAGAAATCAAAATGCCTTGGGAATAAATAAGATCAGAACTGAGATGTTCCTTGTAAATGCTCCAATGATTTGTGGCATCTGAGGACTTTTGGAGTCAATAGCCAGTTGGGAACTTTACTTTTATGAATTTGTTTCATTGCTCTTTGAACCTGTATTTCCCAAGCAGTAGTGTGGTATGACACTGAGTTCTATAGTCCAACTTTGGTTAAAGAAATATTTGTTTTGTTTTGGAAGGTGTTACCAGTCTCAACTGATGCACATCTGTTCTCATGCTGTGAAAGACTGAATGATTGTCCACTATTCACTTTATCAATTCTACTCATGATTTCATACATCTCTGTCATATTCTTATCATTCATTTCTTTTCTAGGCTGAGAGGACTGTTCACCTAATTATTCTTTCTTTGGAAGTGAGTTCACTTCTTAATCCAAACAGGAAAAACTGTAGCATACCTAACCAAATGAAACACACCACATAAGCTTTTTTTTAATCAAAGAGATAATAAACTGGAAAGTGTTATGCAACAAGTTGTATTGGTATAGCTGGGGCCTTTAGAAAGTAATCTAGGTGTAAATTAATATGGAAACCTATTGGAAATGAGGAAAATAAGAAGTATTAGCACACATGTTTTGGATATAAGATACAGGGAGGGAACTGTTTCACTCTCCATGGCTGGTGAGGCATTGTTTCAGGCATTACACTTGAAGACAATTTTGGGGAAAGTCTAAAAGAGAAGAATGGTGAAGAAGCATATTGTAAATGGATTTCTAGAGATGTGTATTTGCAGCAAGTCCAGTCACAAATTTAGATTTTGGTATACAGTGGCAATAGACCACTTAGAGAGACTCATGTGTAAAGAGCAAGGCGTTCTGCAGAAGCCTGAAGGTACTGCATCAGAGAGATTTGTCACCAGAATCTCTCCTCAAGCAAGGCAGATGCAAGGAAGGAAATAGAAGGGTTTCATTTTCGGGGCTTACTATGGTCATAGGTAAAAGACAGTCTGCCCAAGAAATGCTAGAATGATTAAGAAAAAGAAAATATAAATTCAGTTTATAAAGTAAAATCAATTTTCAAGTATGAGGAAAACAATTAGGCTACAGTGGCACCAGAAAATATTAGCAACAAAGAAATTAATTGTAAGAAATACAAAGTTATGCAGGAAAATTCACTTTCAATTCTGAAAAATGCAGAGCATCGAGTTAAAAGATAATAGCTTTGAGGTTCCGCAAATGACTTTGAAGCCTTGTTGAGATCTGTTCTACACCAAACAGAAGCAACAATAGGAATCGCTGGTAGAATACAGATGTTCTATGCACAGTAGGGGAAGCACTGGCTTGATCATCAGCTAAGATATGCAAATGACTACAAGAAATGGAATTCAAAAGTGAACAGTAATTAGGTCTGACAGGAGAAAAATGATCAGTGACATTCATTGTCAGAAAGCCAGGGAAATGTGAATTTTAAAAGTGGTCCTTTAGTATTTGACCAAGAAGTGGCTTTATGATAATCAATATTTGTGTAATAAATGGGTGTTTTATAAATTTACAGAGCAGAGGGTTTGTTTGTTTTAAGCCGCATGGCCACATGAAACAGAAAGGATGTAACTCCTGTAGTTCCTAAATGCCATAAGCCATATGTCATATTCAACATTTAATATTTCTTGCAGCTGACTGCTGCAGCCTCACAGATGCCAGATGACCCAAAATACTTTCAGTGAAGGCAAGAGACAGAGAACAAGCTGCCTCCAGAGGCAGTAGCAGTGCCACACCACGGTATTGTCACAGCAAAAGGGACAGAATGGCTTAGACGCTTCAGGATACTAATGTTCTCAACAAGCTGTTGTTTTACTTGCTGCAGTTTTTGTGAGTCTGAAACAAAAACTCTGATCATTTGTTGACCATTTCTGGCAAATATCATTTGTAGGAAGAAGAGTCACAGCAACAAAATATGAGGAAGTAGTTCTAAGACACTTCGATGGAAGAAAAAAAAACACATTAACCTATGAAAGGCAAGGATGTAAAACCAAGTTCCCAGAGTTTATTTTTATTTTGACACACTGACAGATTTACATTTTAAACATTCCTGGTGTCTCATTCATAGTCATGTCTGAGAAGTAGAGCAACAGATCCCCAGAAACTAAAAGAGTTCAGCATTAAGGGTACCAGTACCTGGGTACCACCTCTTTGTGGAAGTAGGTTCAGGCTGGCTTTCTACACTGGATCTTACAAGCTAGGTAATGATAAATCTCAGCATATCCAAAGGACAAGGAAAAGACTTCTTTTACAACAGCAGATGGCTTGAGACAACATGAAATAACTTCAGGATACACAAAGGCTATTGGAGGTTAACAAGAAGCCAGGCTTTACTTAGCCTGACTTCTAGCACACACTAAAACCTTTGAACATGAACAATTCTATTTACGGAAAGCATGATAAGATGAATGCTATCAATCTGCAAATCAATAAAAACAAATGAGGGCAATTCTAGAAAGAACTAGTTTACCTTGTGCACGTAATCATAAAGAGAGAATTCCCACAATAAGAAGCTGAAACAGTACACATGCTGGCCAGATGCCCAGACTACTGCAGAGTTTGCACCATTACACAACATTTTTTGTGGGTTCATCAACACTCCAAAATCAGCAGAAAGGCAAGGCAGAGAAGGGAGAAACACTTTGGCAGTCCCCAGAATGAGATCCAGCACCATCAATATTAAATGGCTTGCATCACTATTCTGACTTCAAAACCCTTTTCTTCATGCTATCTGTTAGGCTTGTAAGCATGGTGACTTTTCGAAAAACAGATTTAAGTTTTCCAGGAATGTTTACTGTACCATACCAAAAAAAATCCTGAAAATGGTTAAAATTTGCCAAGCTTTTGATCTCTGTTTGAATGCAGCAAATCCAGAGTCAGCAGGGGGCACTGAATCCCGGCAACAATTCTTGGCTGAAGAGCATCTTGCTGGTGAATGGAAATGGGAAGGGCAGTGCTTCCACTGCCTGGAAGCCTGGGCAAAACCACAGTAATGCTGGTGGCAAAGCAGTGACTTGGGACTGGGAACTGGTCTCAGAACTGACTTTAGGAGTGGAGTACTCTCCAGAAGAGATTACTGTCTCCTCTTATTCTACCAGTTCAAGAAATACAGATGTCCCCAGTTGGAGTGAGCCTGCAGAAAGGGTCTTCAACAAGCTTCTGATAACAGGAGACTGAGAATCAGTCTTTTCTGTGACTGGAAAATCACACAGCAAATGCCCTCTCACAGCACACTACAGCAGGAAAAAAGGATGGGGTATAGAATGCATAAAACCTTCAGACAGGAGCAATAGTCAAACTAACTCATCAGACCTGGGACTCAACTCTAAGGACAACCTAAAATTGTGCAATGGGATTTTAGCATAATTTTGTCCTAAAACTCAGGGATCAGTTGCAAAAATCATGGGTAGGGAAATTGGGACAGTTACATGCTGCGCATCAATTTTTACAGACATAAGAGGTGGTCCCTAGGCTTGTTATAGGGAACCTTTCCATGGGTCTATGAAAAAAATCCATGGAAATTTAGATAAATATATAACTTCTGTGCAAACATGCCAACAGTTAAAAGCGTCATTTACAATTTATTATGCATTTCCTTTCTGAATGAATGAGTTGCTCTCACCATCATCAGTAGAGTGGAAAAATGAATTGGATATGTTACAGGCTGGGTTCCATCTACACTAAAATGACAAAAATGAACTACCATCCTTCAATTTTAAATAAAAAGGTAAGAACATATTTGATATCAATCAGCTGAAACAATACTTCCCCTTAAAATGAATACAAGTAACCACAACCAAAAAAAGCTTATGCAAAGTTCACGTGAGCAAGAGCATATCACTGGCTATTTATTTTGTGACTTTCAAAGGGGACTATTTTGCTTTGATTTTCTTGTGCTTAGTGAAGATGTTTGTTAGCAACTGCAATAACTATACTTTTTATAGGATCTCTCAGTTAAGTGAAGGCAATAATTTTCATTGGGAATTTTGAGCTGAGTTTTGAAATAAGAAAGGCCACTCCTAAAAGTGAAAAGTTATTCATAGAAAAGCTAACATATGGAAACCAAGACAACAAATCCAACAGATAGGGAGGGCACTGCTCCTTGAAGAAGTTGAGTGTTGTTTTTTTTTTGGTTTTACATCAAAAGGACACTGTAAAACAGGCCCAAATACCTCCTGTCTTTGCCCAGAGTCAGAAGTCATTTTTAAATGCAATGGTTTCCAGACTGGAAAGTAGCATGCACCGAATCTACCTCACCCAGGGAAATTTAAGCTGAAAAACCAGCACAGAGGAATTGGAGCTGCCCTCATGTGCTTTCTACTTCAGAGTTCATCCACAGTCAGCACAGCCAGTGCTGTTCAGGTGCTCTGCCTGCTGTCAGCACCAGCAGGAAGCAGGAACAATTTAATCCTGAAGGTCGGAGCTCTCTATTGTGCATGATCTCTCACTCACCAAAAAGATGGACCACGGGTAGACTTTGGAGGTAAAAGAAATCAATGGTATTTTACTAGTCAGCTACAGAGTAACAGCACTTGCACAGCATTAAAAATTTATCAGCATTTTGACAGGGCATGTCAGCATCCTGAGCAATAAAGTGCAATGTGCTTCTGAAGGACAGTGCTTTCAAGATCTAGAAAGGTACAGAGCTGGGAATCTTACAGACGTACAAGTAAGGCAAAAAATATTTAGAGCACTAATGGGAGAGAGCTCTGGAAAAGGAGGGAAAGCAGGTCATGTAAAGCTGTTTAGAAGCAATGCCCAAATGTGTTGTTTATGCTTTGGAGAGATAAACAAATCCATCTTTCATAAGAACCATTGAAAGGACAGCAAGAAAAAAGAGAAAAAGAAATGTAATACATATAAATGTATAGTGAAATGAGCTTTACAAAAAAGTTCTCACTCTACATGCCATTCCCTGTCACCAACACCACTCTCATTTTTTTCTCTCAATACCACATCTGTAGGACTCAGGTATACAGATCAGGACACACCAAAACCATGAGTTCAATTCAAATGAGTTCCACAAGACATGGATATTTCTGCAGAAATGTTTGCAGCATCACTGCTACAACTTTCAAGACCAAAACCTAGAACTTCTGCAGATTATCTGAATTACATGGTTTTTCTCCAGACAACTTAATGTGACTGAGAAATTTCCGCAAGGCTATTGGTAGAGCAATCTATCTTTATGCACGTATAACACATTCTGGAGACCCTTTCCCACAACATTTTAAGTATTTTTCCCACTTATAATTTCTTACCTGAAGAGTTTTCACTTTTCCTAAAACGTTCTCCTGTGACATTGCTTGGATGGCCTGTTCACTCTCTGTTCTCCCATCAGGTATAAAAATACTGTCATGGGAAAAAGCTCGACTGCCCATAGAATAATGGGAGGATCTGGAAAAAAAAAAAAACAGTTAAAAAGTAAATAAGCATGGCAATGAGTTTATGAGAGTGCCCTTCATATCATACCTGCCCTGCTGTATAGATATTCCCCCCCACTTGCCTTCTACATGAAAGCTTTGAATATTCTCAGAAGAGAGGTATCCAAACATGTTTAGTTATTGAAAATTCAATGGAGGTGCACAATTCCCTCACATAGAGTCTTCCTCCTTGTAAGGACCTAGAGTTAGGTGTTTTTAGCAGGCGAGTTGAGAAGTTCAATTGATTTTCCTTGTAAGTCCCAAATCTAAATGTTACTTTTAGGATACAGAGTAGGTGAGCATGATGGACACATTAGCACACTACATATTTAAGCAAGCCCGCATTCATGCTTAGTCCCAGTGCTTGGGATCTGCTGTCATTCTTGGTCAAAGAACACAGCAGGTCCCAAACAAAAGCAGCTCTGTAACACAGAGAGAGGTAATACACTGTAGTAGCCAACTTCTAAAGAGCTACCTCGTTTAGCTGATTACTCAGCTCTTCCTATCACCATGAGCATGATCACACTGACTATAAAAGGTTATCATCAAACCCCTGAACTGCTAAGAAGCTTATTGCACCTACCTGAGTGGCTCTGATTAGCAACAAAGAGCAAGAAATGCTCTGTGTGTTGCTGTTTAACTGAATACTGATGCCAAGGAGGAAGGTGCATCATGAATGACCCAGTTATATGGCTCTGACTGAAATCCATAGGCAAAGGGATTAAAAAAAGAATCATGAAGAAAATGTGGAATTAAAAAAAAAAAATAAAAAAGGGAAAAATCCAGGCTTATGGGTTGTTACTTTGGAATTTGGGGGCATTCTGTGGGAAAAATGTTTGAGTTTGAAAGTCATGTTTTGTCTCATCTAGAATATTCCATGGTAAGTGAAAAGACAGTAATCTACAAACGTGATGAAAGCCACGGTACAAAACCCCTGGACAACTGAGACATCTTAAATCTCTCTTTTAATAATCTATTAGCAACTCTATAGAACGCATTTATAGTTCCAGAAAAAAAAAAAATCTGGAGGGAAAAAAAAATCTTTGTACAGATCTAGCCGAAACAATCTTCTACATCTGATAAAAGCATTATGAACAAATATTTCAGCCAAAGCAAGGAAGACAGTATTTACAGAGAGAGGTGTAAGTAAAACAAGAAAAATTAAAGCTTCACATATTTAAGAAAATCAGTATATTATCTTTTTCTGCCTTTTAAAATGTGCTAATTTTTCATGAAGTGTTCAAGATATTTCTACTCATACTTTGGAAACCAATCTGTTTGGAATGTATTTATTACACTTTCATCTCATTTTTTTCCTGGGGTATGAACATACTCTTTTTAAGTAAAAGCAATAATCTTTTCTTACCAAGGAAGACTTGTTATATAGGGTTATATTATCCTGGTGACACTGATTAGATAATAGACTATTGGTGACTTTTATAACAGAATTTCTTAGAGGTAACCTGAAAATAACAGGAAAAAGCCCCCAAACCCTCTCCCTCTTTCTAGTTTATATATAAATCTTTTGCACTCCACTCACAACATAATCCAATCTTTTGAGTGAACACACACAGCTCTCTAAATCATTTTATCTTCAATAAAATCACAAACTAACTGAAAAACTACTTTTTATCCAGACTTAATATTTGAGCAACATGCTTTGTTTGAAACAAACCAGCACACAATCAGACAAAGAGCTGGTCAATATTTCACTGTAGTTTTAGCCATGAAAGAGAGGGAACCTTTAATTGTTGCTATATTCTATGTTAGATTTTTGTTTTAAAAAACCACGACTGTATTGCATCTGGCTTCTAAAGGTAATACACCTTCTTTTCGAAACCTTCTATTAGAGAAACCATAAAGGTGTATTTTTAAACCCTCTTCTAAAAAAGTTTCTGTACCGAATCTCCATGACTCAGCCTGTGTACATATTACTGTGGTAAAATTGTATGTCACTGAAATACATCCACCTTCCTTGGCCACCCAGGAATCAGGCTGCGAACCACAATTTGAGAAATGTCCCTTAAACAGAGACAAATTCCTAGCAGGCCTGGAAATGAGTGGTTTGACAAACCTGAGTGAAAGTTGGCTTTTTTTTCATATAACTGTGTAGGTCTGTTTGAACTGCAAACTGTAGCATTGCATTCACCAAGGTGGGAAGGTGCAGGGAAGAAGTCTGTAGTCACAACCAAAATGGAGGGAAACATGCAAAATTTGGAAAACCAGTCCATGGCCACCCCTCCTGCATTTGCATTGTTCAGTACGTGAACCTGCTGCAGGTATGGAAGGCAAGGCTGGTGGGAACTGGTGGTTTGTTAATTACCTTTGAGCTGAGAGATCTGCTGAGGACGTGTAATCCAGGTCATGCTGTGCTCCAGAGACGATGCTTTCTCAAAGATTTTTCCAGCAGTGCTGTGGCTTAGATACTTGTGGCTTTGTCTCACAGCTACTTGCTGTGCATACACCACTCTCCTCCCTTTTTACTGTCCAGTGGGTTGGAGTTCTCATACTTAAAATCAGACACCTCATGTATATTTGTGTTGTTTTTTACTACTAATTAGTAGGCAAGGATTGCAATTCAAGCACCAAAGTGGCTTGTTTGCAAGTTTTCTTGACCTTACTAATGAATTGCTAATATTTAAGTTGGGAGTGGCCAACCTGCAGCTCTGAAACTAAACAGAATTTGCTAGCAGTTCAAACCCCAAATCTGCATTTGATCATTAGCAGGGATGCTCTGGTAGTAGGAAGTACCTGATAAAATCTGAGTCCCTGAAATGGAAGAAAAGAGCAACTTCTTAGGTCAGTGCTGGTGGAGACTGCCTGGGACACGGCTGTGAGTGAAGATCTTCCCCATCCTGCTACAAAGCTAAGGACACCTTTAGTGATCTAGTCTCTCCTCCTGCCTGTGAACTTATTAAAATATCATTTAAAGCTCCTTTGGGTCCATCAGGTCACATGCAACAGCTTCAGAGCTCCATGTGACCTGCAATCATAAGTACATCACCACAGAAAGTCCAGCCCTGCCTTTGACAAGTGCCCACAATGGTACCAGTGGCAGGTTAGGACCATGCTAAGCACCTACAGCATCTCTGACATTCCCCCAAACACCAAACTGCTCCCTCTCACCTTATTACATGGCATCACATATTTCTGTTTCATAGAGCTTAGGCCAAACATATCTGAAAGGTTTTGTCCATTTTTGTTTTCTTATTAACTTGCTAACAAAACAAACATACTCTAAACTGTCAGAAGACATGAAACAGTCACAGGACACCTCACGGTGCATTAATTCAAGACTGTTCTCTACTGTATCCCTCCAAAATGCTTTGCACACATAGTGGGTATTCCAGAATTGGGTGAATGAGCAATTCTGGTAGCCACATGTCCAACAACTGGTAAAAATAGTTTAAGAATTTTGCTTAAATGCCTATGTAGGCTAAAGAACATAGGAAAAAAATATTCACACATTGTAGTAACCTAGTTTCTTTTACAGGCTAGTATAAATAGTGTTTAAGGTGATTTTCAGGCTACTTGTACCTTCTGAAAGGTCTCTTATTTTACTCACTTGGAGCCCACAGTCCTTTCACATCTTCCCAGTTGTGAATTTGACAGGTTATATCACAAAGGTCCTTTACTCCCCTCTTTTTTCGCTTTCCTCATGTTCTACTTTGGGAAAGACTGAATTTCTTTTAAGTCATAATACAGTATGAATAATTGAGTTTCCTTCACTGCTACCAGCATTCCCATCTTTGAAGTTTTTCTCAGAAGTCTTTATACAAAAACATCCTCACAATACACATCTACAGTCTGGGCTCCCTTCGATTAAAAGGCATGTCAGCCTCAGGAGTGGATTTCAATAGATTCACGGTATGACAGAGACCCAGGCTACAATCATAGCCATGGCTGAAGGTATTACACCTTCCAACTGCCATATCACTTCCAAGAAATGTGGGAAAACAGTGGCATCAGTTTATGAGCACTTCTGTTGATAATTCTGATGATGACACTTCAGAGGTTGTTTGTGCTGAAAATAATTGAATCATCATCTGACTCACTTTCAGAAACCTGACTAAATTACATGAATTATGGATGTGCTATATCAAAATATGAAGCACTTTTAGCAAATCTTTAAAGATGTTCTCCCTGAAGATGTGTTGCAACCCAAGGATCATATTCCAGTTTCAGTTGCAATACATAACTTTTCAAAACTAATTTTCTCATACTCAGAGCAAAGTTTAATTCCATTTGCTCTCAGGGTTTTCTTTGACTCACCTGTGTCCCTCTTCAGATATCCTGAAATAGGCTGGAATACTTAGTTTCCCAGCAACACTAAAAACTTACTTTTCACCTTCTTTGCTTAGGATGAGACTGTCAAGAACTACTACATTTTTGAGAATGTATGATGGGCTCTGTGGTTCATGCAGGCTTTGGCACAAAAAGAGAGTACCAGGATTTGTCTTTATCTTGAGTGTGCCCCAAGAGCTTAAAAGTATTGCAGAGCCAGTCATCCCACAGGGTTTTTACAAATAATGAAACCAGTAATGTCAAATGGGTGGGAAATAGCACAAGACACACAGAATAAGGACCCCACCACATCCTGACCATGGAGATGACTGGACTCCTAGCCCAGATTTACCAGTATTTAGCTGCAAAAGAAGTTGCCTCAAATACACATCTCCCCTAACTAGGTTTCTTCTGCATAAAATTAATATGCTTCTCGGACTCACTGTTTAATTCAGTGCTGATAAATTAATTTTCCTGGAAAGGGAAAACACCTTCTGTTCCATTTCAGACTTCTGGAAGAATCACAGAAAACCACTGGTAAACAGATTACAGAGATATTGGAAGCATCACCATCTATGTATGAATTTGGCTAGCAAAAACCTCTATGCAGTAAACCCCTCTTTCCATTACTCATTCTTGCTAAGGTATCTGTGTGTGCTAAGAAATCAGAAAATGTGAAAAAATGTCCTT